GTACACATTTAACAAGCATTTAACCACGTCATTGGTAGGACACTAAGAAACACCAGAAGTTGTTGCTTAGGGGAGGCTGCTCTGATGGTAGCCTGTCTACCTTCTTTTCAAAGAAGTGAGTGAAGCATATTGAACATAACTTTAGAATTGTACAGTTTTGATGTTGTGAGATCTGTTTTCATTCTTTTACCCAAGCTAAGTACACATCTCCAGTGTCTTCTGCTAAAGCCAGACTTTCTTCTATGCCTAAACCTTGGTGACCAAAAAGATCCTCTGGAGGCCACTATTGTAGTCAGTGAAATGAATCTCACAGTGAGAAACTCCTAGGGAAATAAAGTTTTTACCAATAGTAGATCTACTGGAGAGAAGAGATGGTTAGTTTGTCCTGGGGTTAGTCTCTGGTTTACTTCACGGCTGGGCCCAGGACCAGGGAACTCTGGAGCTTGACTCATTATAAATGGAGTAGCCATTTTTGAGAGTCAGATTTCATAGGCAATATTTCCACAGCTGTGTGATGTGGATATGAATTTTAAGATCTAATTTGCTGAGTCTAGTTATTGACTGTGTGGCTCTTGTGGTTCAGTGACAACTGGTGTCCCAGAACTGGTAGGCTACAGGTCCTTCACCTTCTTTCCAACTCAGAGGCTTAGCACCTAATATAGCAAAAGTTACTCCTTGATCTTCCAACCTTTGGCGCTCACAATATGTTTTTTTTTCTTAACATGCATAATGAAAGATTGCTGGCAAGGCTTTTGAAGAGTTCATTAGTCTCAAGATATTCTCTCATTCACCCATTCAGCAAATATTTAAGAAGTGCCTGTAATAGGCTAGACATTGTTCTAAGCTGGAGATAGCATTGAACAAACAAATAAAAATCACTGACATTATGGGAATTAAATAATTTATCATCTATTGGAAGAGGCGAGTGCTATGTTGATATGCCCCAAGGGAAGCTGCCTGGCAATGGCTCAAAGGCGCATAGAATAGGTGGGCCAGGCAGGAGGGCTGGGCTGTATCTCTAGCTCCCCTGCTACCAGGAGAACAGGGCAAAGTGTCAAACTGTTTCAAAGACTACAATTCGGATTCAACAAACACTTTAAAGAGTCAACTCCACTCCACTTCCCTCAGTCCTCACACTAAGCTGTTGCAGCTGGCATCACTGTTATAGACAGCTGGGAACATGGAGCTTCAGAGCACTTCAGTGACCTAAGGAGGCGAAGCTGGTGTGGCACCAGCCTGGATCCCAGTCCTGGCCTGCTTTCTTTAGGCAGTGGAGTTGCCACGCTATGCTGTGGCCCACTTGTTTATTCCCTGGCTGGGCATTTATTTACCCCTTATCACATCTAAAAGCATCTGGGGTGTAGAGGAAAGTCTGACTTTGCCAATTACTTAACATCTTTGAACCTCCTTTCCTCACCTGTCAGACTGTAAGATCATACACTCGCCTCACAGGTTTGTAGTGAAGATGAAATAAATAAATGAAGAACAGCATCCTTCAGGGATTCCACAAATGTCCGTGTTCTCCCAGCCCAAAGGGTCTGGGCTGACCTACAAGTTGTGCAGTGTGGCCCTGGGGGCTGGGAGCCCAGAACGTGTGTTCCGTTCTGGTTTAACCTCTTACCTGCCGAGGGTGCTTGGAGTCCCCTGAAATTTGTTTTTTTCATATATAAAAAAGGGAGAATAACAAATAGATCTCAACCTTAAAGGGTTGTTGTGAACAGTAAATGAGTTAGTATACATCCTCCTTTGCAGGACCTGCCTGTCTCACAATCAGTGTTCTTGGTTGACCATTGCTATTGCAGGGATTGTGTGCAAGTCACCATTTCTCCCTGAAACTCAAGTTTCTGGGCTGTAAAATAGGGAAGTTGACAGCTTCTAAGGTGCCTTGTGGGGAGCTGGTAAATCAGTCACCATGGAGGAGAATCCAGAAAGAGACTGTCTGTGAGGCAATAAGTGGAGTACCTGGCTGGAGAAGGGCCCAGTGAGTGAGAGAGCTGCTGCTGCAGAGGGAGTGGGAGAGCAGGGTGGGCACAGTGAAGGAAGCACCTGGCACTTGAGCCCTTTTCTCTCGCCCCAGTGCCATGGCCTTCAGAGATATGGGCTTTTCTACTACCTCTCCCTTCTCCTCCTACCCACATTTCTTTCAAAGACCGAGTCCTCCAGCTCCCAACTGTCCTTGTCAGCAAGGGGCTGGGTGGATTGTGGTTTCCTGAGATTGGGAATGGGTCCAGGTTCTGGTTTCCACCTTGAGCTAACAGAAACTGGAAATGTCAGTTATATAACAACACTATCTCTCATTCTTTGGTGATCTCCTGGCTCTCACTCAGACATCTACTCTGTCCCCATGGGTTGTTTTCCATAGAATTAAGGCTCATATCTGTTTATTGATAGGGGTGTTTTTCCTCACACCCTGTCCTTAAACATAGTGTCTCCCAGAATCCAGCTGCCGTGTTCACTCTTCTCAGGACCCCCAAGCAGATATTTTTTCTTGTGAGAGGGCCACCTGCATCTATCCAAGATGGCCTTAGCTCTGATCTTCCAAGAGGGGGATCCGTGGGGGAACCAAACAGTTGAGTCATCTCATTTACTTCCCTTCACCCAGACTGAACTCCATCATCAAATTGTATAAGTTTCCTGTCCTTCACTCCTCTTCTTATCCTTCTCTCACTCATCACCTGTGTCTACTTACTAACTCTTAAAGGAAATTCTGCAAGAGGTCTGATCTTTAGAGCTGGAATGTTATGGAAAGATGAAGTTTCTAATATTTATTACCTTTCTCATCAGCTCTGTCATGGAAAGGGGACTCCATTCCATTAGCATTATATATATTGTAGAGGAGCACTTGTAGAGCAAAACGCCAGTCAATACCTGCTCTCAAAACTTATGATTTGATAGGCAGGGAAGTGTGGGGAAGCTGACAGGCACACACATAACTGTAATGTCAAGTTGCAGAGAGCAGGAAAAAATAACTAACAAAAAAATTTTTAAGCACTGAGGTAAAACTAGATCTTATTTGCTTGAAAAGATCAGGAAAAATGCCATAAAGATAGAAAGATCTAAAATTTAGAATTGAGAAGTAGATGTGGGGAAGCATGAGGTGAGATTCTTACTGAAGGCACAGCCTGAAAAAACATTCAGAGACAGGAGGTGAGAATGGGGATTAGATATTATAGTATTCTGGGGAGAGCTGGCTGGGGAGATATATTTGGGGTAATAAAGGGACCCCTAGAGAATAAGGTGGTCAGGGAAGCAGGGATGATCATGGAGAAAGTTTCTTACTTGACTCTCTCTTTTTACAGGTGCTAGCACATTTCAAGAATTTCAGAACCCTGGTGAATCCCCAACATCTGATAATTTATCTCCTCCTACACCAAACCTTATTTATACTACTCCCTCTGACCACACTGCTCTTCATTTGGGACACAGCCCTCCAGACCACCCTAAATCTCCGGAAACCCATCAACCTAAACACCACTGCAATGCCACACACCATTTGAGACCAGTTTACAAACCTATAGAGAACTCCAAAAACTTTACAACTCATCATAAAGCTGCTCCCACTTCTGAACAAAACCCCAGCAATCAAGGAAAAGACCCAGTTATCCGGAATGGACGATCTGCTGACTCCAATAACACAGGCAAAAATTTATCTGATGCAACATATCCAACTACAAAACCCACGAGAAAAACAACTTGTCGTCAGACCACAACAAGCATACCAACAGTAAAGACAAATGCCTTCAAAACTCCAACACCCTTGGAAAGTACCATCATTACATTAGACAGTAAGAGCATCACAACTCTTTCCCACCACTCAGTTAAATCAGAAAGCAGCAATAGACTCACATTTTCCTCAGAAAAAAGCACAACATACAAGGCATCAAGAACTACAGAAAAGAAAAAAAAAGTTGATGATCATACAGCACCTGCTAATTACAATACTACAGTAGCTTCAGATAAGACACTGATAAAGACCAGAGAACAAACAAAAGAGACACCAAGAGTCACTGAAAAGAACAAACAAACAACAGTAAAACCTACATACCATGAACAAAAGACCATTTCAGTACATGTAAACACCACAAGAGCTCCAGCAATACCTACAGAACATGGACAACAGAGGACATCAGCCCATGAGAAGATCACAAGAGACCCAGGAATACCTACAAAATATGGACAACAGAGCACATTGGTCCATAAGATCACAGGAACCCCAGCAATGCCTACAGAACATGGAAAACAGAGCACATTGGTCCATGAGATCACAAGAGCCCCGGCAATGCCTACAGAACATGGACAACAGAGCACATTGGTCCATAAGATCACAGGAACCCCAGCAATGCCTACAGAACGCAGAGACCAGAGCACATTGGTCCACAAGATCACAAGAGCCCCAGCAATGCCTACAGAACATGGACAACAGAGCACATTGGTCCATAAGATCACAGGAACCCCAGCAATGCCTACAGAACGCAGAGACCAGAGCACATTGGTCCACAAGATCACAAGAGCCCCAGCAATGCCTACAGAGCACAGACAACAGAGCACATTGGTCCACGAGATCACAAGAGCCCCACCAATGCCCACAGAGCACAGACAACAGAGCACATTGGTCCACGAGATCACAAGAGCCCCACCAATGCCCACAGAGCACAGACAACAGAGCACATTGGTCCACGAGATCACAAGAGCCCCACCAATGCCCACAGAGCACAGACAACAGAGCACATTGGTCCACGAGATCACAAGAGCCCCACCAATGCCCACAGAGCACAGACAACAGAGCACATTGGTCCACGAGATCACAAGAGCCCCACCAATGCCCACAGAGCACAGACAACAGAGCACATTGGTCCACGAGATCACAAGAGCCCCACCAATGCCTACAGAGCACGGACAACAGAGGCACATTGGTCCACGAGATCACAAGAGCCCCACCAATGCCCACAGAGCACAGACAACAGAGCACATTGGTCCATGAGATCACAAGAGCCCCACCAATGCCTACAGAGCACAGACAACAAGGCACATTGGTCCACAAGATCACAAGAGTCCCAGAAATGCCCACAGAACATGGACAGCAGAGCACATTGGTCCATGAGATCACAAGAGTCCCAGAAATGCCTACAGAACATAGACAATGGAGCACATCAGCTCATCAGAAGATCACAGGAGCCCCAGAAATGCCCACAGACCATGGAGAGCAGAGCACATTGGTCCATAAGATCACAAGATCCCCAGCAATGCCTACGGAACACGGACAGCAGAGCACATTGGTCCATGAGATCACAAGAGCCCCAGAGATGCCTACAGAGCACAGACAACAGAGCACATTGGTCCATGAGATCACAAGAGCCCCAGAAATGCCTACAGAACATGGACAGCAGAGCACAACGGTCCATGAGATCACAGGAACCCCAGCAATACCTACAGAACGTAGACAACAGAGCACATTGGTCCATGAGCTCACAAGAGTCCCAGAAACGCCTACAGAACACAGACAACAGGGCACATTGGTCCACGAGATCACTAGAGTCCCAGCAATGCCTACAGAACACAGAGACCAGAGCACATTGGTCCATGAGATCACAAGAGTCCCAACAATGCCTATAGAACATAGACAATGGAGCACATCAGCTCATGAGAAGATCACAAGAGCCCCAGAAATGCCCACAGACCATGGACAGCAGAGCACATTGGTCCCTGAGATCACAAGAGTCCCAGAAATGCCTACAGAACATAGACAATGGAGCACATCAGCTCATCAGAAGATCACAAGAGCCCCAGCAATGCCTACAGAACATGGACAACAGAGCACATTGGTCCATGAGATCACAAGAGTCCCAACAATGCCTACAGAACATAGACAATGGAGCACATCAGCTCATGAGAAGATCACAAGAGCCCCAGAAATGCCCACAGACCAGGGACAACAGAGCACATTGGTCCATGAGATCACAACAGCCCCAGCAATGCCTACAGAACACAGACAGCAGAGCACATTGGTCCATGAGATCACAAGAGCCCCAGCAATGCCTACAGACCAGGGACAACAGAGCACATTGGTCCATGAGATCACAACAGCCCCAGAAATGCCTACAGAACACAGACAGCAGAGCACATTGGTCCATGAGATCACAAGACCTCCATCAATGCTTACAGAACATGGACAATGGAGCACATCAGCTCATGAGAAGATCACAAGAGCTCCAGCAACATCTACAGAACATGAACAGGAGAGCACATTGGCCCATAAGAAGGTCACGAGAGGCTCAAGTGAGACTACAGAACACCAACTGAAGACTACTGTGGCCACAGAGCCAACCAGAGGAGCCTCAGGAAAGCCTATAGTACACACAAAGAAGACCACATCTCCCAAAGGGAAGACCACACCAATTCCAGCAAAGCCTACAGAAAACCCGACAAGAAACACAGCTGATACAGAGACTATTAGATCTCCAGTCAAGGTCACAGGAGACCAGTCTATCACTACTTCCTCTCCTTATCCAAAAAGAACTGAGGTTACCCCTCAGCTGCCCATTGGCTCTTTTACACTTTCCACATTTAGCATGGAGTTGAGTTCTGTCATGTCAGAAGCCCCAGTCAACAAGAGCCATCCACACCAGAACAAAGATAGCTCACAAGGAGGTCTCCATGTTGGAGAGGTGGGGAAGGATGATTCATTCCCTCCATGGGCCATAGTTATTGTGGTCCTGGTGGCTGTGATTCTCCTGCTGGTGTTCCTTGGCCTGATCTTCCTGGTAAGGAATAGGGATGCTCCAGGGTAATGGACCCATGGGACAGGGGATTGAGGAGAGGTTATTGATCAGAACTAGATGGAATAATGACTCTAGCAGAAGAGGCATGGGGGTTGGCAATAGAGGGGCAGTGGCAGTGAAAACTATGCAAAAGACAATAGATGCATAGGACATGACATGTAGAATTGAGGGAAGGCCATGGATCAGGAAAAAAGGTGTAGAAGAGGGAAATTTTGTTAGAAAAGGAAAATAGGACAGAAGAAGTATGAAGAGGTCTGGGACTCTGTATAGCATCAGGGGCTGGAATAAGAATCAAGTTTATATGGCATCTTGGGAAAGAAGCAAGCTGAAGGTCTGGATTAGGGAATAGAAAAGGGCCTGAGATAGGGGTGTTGAGGAAGCAAATGGCATGGCAGATGATACTCATTTCTCCTTCCTCCCAATCCCAGATCTCCCACATGATGCGAACACAACGGGCACTGATTGACAACACTGAGAACAATGACCCAGAGGATGATGATGGGGGCCCCAATTCTTACCCAGTCTACCTGATGGAGCAGCAGACACTTGGTGTGGGCCAGATCCCTTCCCCACGATGATTTTTCAGAAAGCGCCTGCCCTCAGCTCTTCCATGCTCTACCCCTTTCCTGGATGAGGAATTAGACTCACAATTCCTATTTCCTGGACTACAGGAAGGGCAAAGCACTGACAGTTAACAGCATCAGCCCTTTGTCTGTTGTGTTCTTATTGAAACTGGTCAAGGGATGAGGTGATAGCAAGAAGGATGTGAGTTTGAGAGATAGAAAAGAAAGAACCATAATACAAGTGTTCTCTGTGGAAGACAATGGTTGGAGAACAAAAAGATGTGTCCTGGACACTTGGGATGGGGACCAATACAGGACATTGATGCTGGGAGAGCAAGAACAACTAATGGAAGTTTGGAAGCCTCTGAGGGCAATGCCCAGATCTGGCTTGTGAGGTGGGCTTATGAGAAGGGGGAGACTGAGGCCAATCTATATTATTTCCATCTACTGTTATTTAGAGAGTGTGTAAAGAGGCCGGTCTCTGAATTCCCAGCATGGTGGTGGTGGTAGTTGTTGTTCTTTTTCTTCTTCTTCCCCTTCCTCCTCCTCCTCCTCCTTTATCTCTTTCTCCTTCTCTTCCTCCTTCTAATGTAAAAATTGGATCTTAGAAGGAAAACAAGATTTATTTCTTTCTCCATCCTCTCCATTCCCAGCAGAAACAAAAATTCCAGAAAAGATCATAAATATCTCTCATTGAGCTGGTTCTTTTCTCCTCCTCTCAAACCCCTTAGTTTTTCTAAATGTGTATGATGGGCATCCTGCAGGGTTGGCTTGCTGGGTGTGGGTGAATACACAGGATGGATTTTGTTTGGCCTGCAGTCTCATCCATTGATACCCATCCCAGACCTTCCCTGATGGTGTTCTCCACTCAGGATTTTATTTTTCTGCCTCTTCCTCCAAAGTCACTTGCCAGTCTTCCCTACTACCCCATCCTCTTTCTTCACACCTTCATCCCAGATTCCAAATCCCCCCTTAGTAAGCATTTCACCTATATGTTCTCTAGATTTTTTTCTCCAACTTATTAAAGCCCTTTTTAACTACTATTGATTGAACAGAGATGGAAAGGGAGAGTTGACAGATGACAGATAACTTCCTTGTAGCTATCAGTCTTTTTATAATAAAGTATAAAGTATTTACAAAGTAAGGACATCACAGTTATTGGACTATCAGCTGGAAGAAAGTCCTAACTGGTGTTCCTAGCCCTGGCTGTAAGTTTGCAGATGACCTTGAGCAGGACTGGCTAGAGGACAGGAATGAATATCTTTGGAGGGTGAAGCAAGAGGAGGGTGAATCTCTATTGCTCCTAAAATGGTTCACTTCTGGATTTAGATGAGCTGGGATGAGTTCGTGCAGAGCTCAAATACATGGTGACAAAATGAGGGAAAAACTTGTTACTTAATAAGCAAGTATTTCTAAGCGCCTATTACACATTCTGTTGAGGAAGATAAAGAACTTTAAGATACAGTTCCCACCTGAGACACAAATACAGGAAAATCAAAATTAAATAATTCAGTATGAGCTATAACAAGGCAGTACTACACAGAATAAAACAAGACTGTAATGAATGAAACCCAACATTTATGGGCATCTGCCATGTCCCACAGTTATGTTAGCCCTGCTCCAAACCCATTCCATGCCCAAATGTCAGTCCCAGCAGAACTGCCACCCATCCTCCATGGAACCTAAGTCTTTCTTCACCAGAGTGTCTTCGCTGATCAGAAAGGCGCCTGGTTTGCCATAGGCCTTCCACCCTTAACTCCACCCAACATCAAATAGCAGGTCCATGGGTTGCTCTTTGCTAAATTTGGCATCCCACTTGTGGGCCACTGGAAGCCTATCCTAATCAGTAATCCTAATTCTAATCCAGACACTAATGAGACTGAATAGTCTGCCAGAGCTCAGATCTGGGCTGGAAGGCTTCAGCCTGAGGGTCTGTTTCCCAGCAGACGCCCACTCTGCTTGGGTCCCAGAAAGGAGGCATGCCAGGTGCCAGAAGGACCCCAGATCTAAGCCCCTGGAGAGAACCTTGAGGCAAAGAGGGCCACCTGGGTCTTGGGAGAGGGCTGAAGTGCCTGAGAAAAAGGAGCAGGATGCCCAATTTTTAGCCATCTGCACAGATGGTGATGTAGCATGTGGCAGCTGCTAGGACAGGGGTGTCACTTGCCCTGGGAGCAAAGCAGATACCCCATAATCCCAGCCTCTAACCACTGAATTTCCTCACCCTGAACCCTAATTTTAAAAGCCAAAACAAGATAAAGCAAACACACCTTTGCCCCTGCCAAGGCACCAACAAGGAGCACTGGGGTCAAAGGGTGCGTGATGGGGAAGTGGGGAGTTTTTACATTTCTAGGGCAAATAGGGACAGAAGGGCGATTCTTCCCACTTCTCTTTCCTGCTAATTAGTTTGTAACCTAGGGGGACCCCTTTAACAAACTCCCGGGCTGGGCTGTCCTTTAGCAAAAACATTTCGTGAATGGCTCTATCCTCACGCTTATGGCACCCCGGCCCCCTGGGGAGAGCACCTCTTGGGAGCAGGTGCCCAAGACCCCAGGGGCTGGGCCAGGGGTGAGTGCAGCGGGACAGAGGGCTCCTGGGCTCCGTTCTCATTTGCTCAGCACTCCCTCCTACCTCAGGCCTCCACTGGCCGTGACTCCTGGGTGTCGCTGGCTAACAAACGGAAGAGTGTTCAGGGTCTCCAGCACACGAAGGAGTCGCCGGAATCAGGCTACACCGGAAGAGCCGCTACGGCAGCCAGGGGGTTGGTGGATCTGGTGGTTCCCGTTGCCACACCCTCCTCTGCCCCCCCACCCTCCCCCCAAGACTGCCTGCGGTTTGGCTTCCACCAGCGCACACCCGGCAGAACTCCGGAGTTTTGCTCTGCTTCCCTGCACACAGCCCCAACCACCAGCCACCCTGCACTTCCTCCTGAGGCATGTTTCACACGCAGGAAAAGAGTTCACCTGTGGAACAGAGTTTATTTTCTCCCAAACTCAATTTCACCTTGCTCCTTAGTGGCACCAGGTTCCTTGTGCCGCTGGCAGCATGGCCCTGATGACTGGGATGTTACAGGACCACCTAAGAAACAAAGTGCAGTGGAGGTCTGTGCCAGAGTGCATCCAGCCCCTTCCTCCAGAGTCAGGTCTTCCCTTTCAGCCCTTTCGGGTTTGGGCCCAGAGCCTTGTTCTGGCTGGACAGTCAGTACCTCAGGCCAGGTCTTTCCTGTCAGCCAACCTCTGTCACCTCTGTCACCTTCTGAGACCTTTGAACTAGCCTGGCAGGTTCTCCGTCCCCGCCCCGACCCCCCCAGGGCCCAGTTCCCTTGTAGCTAACTGCCAGCTTTCACAGCCCCCTGCCCTGGACAACGCTTGTTGGCACAAGGATAAGACCCATTTCTTTCTCTTCTGCCTCCTGGAAATGCCTCTGTCCCAGAAATGAGACATCTCTAGAGAAAATAAATTATTTTTGCTGACTTCTGGCCCCAGGGTGGGTCTTTCCTCCTTTGACAGCTTCTCTTCCCTGGAGAGGGAGGGCCCAGAAGTCATGGCCTCCCCTGTCCAGTGGCAACTATAAATGCCACAGCTCTGGACACATGAGACAAGGAGGTAAGCCAGACATACTGTGGGAGCAATTCTCAGAATCCAGGAGTCAGCTGTCCCAGTGCCCAGCTCCCTACCTCCAGGAAACCTGCTCCTACTGATCTTACTCCTCCTAGAACCCTGGCCCTGGCCAGCTTTTAATTCTTCCTGAAAGTTCATGTCCCACTTAGTCTCCAGGCACCAAATGCCTCTGCAGCCCATGTTCACTCTGACATTTGTCACCAGACATTTTGTCACCAGACATTTTGATGGCAACTTTCCTGTGCATTATTTAAGGGTGAGGAGAGGAAAATTACCTCCTGCCTCCAGCGACCAGGTGCTGCTTCACTTTGGAATCCTGGACCTGGTAAGAGTATTGTCCATCGATCATAGAGGACATGGAGGCCACAAAAAGTCAGGGGAGAAGGGTCCCTGTCCCAGGTACTTGGCTTGCATTGTCCCATTCTTTTGCTGGAAGCAAAGATAATAAACTTCTTTTTGGCATTTCTGTGAAAGTCAGTACTGACTGTAGCCGTCACTGATGGTGATTCTGACCCCTGCTGTGCCACAGATCCACCTTTATCCTCCCCTCAAACCCTCAGCTCTCAGCCTGAGCACAAATAGCAGCTGCTTTGATTTCCTTTAGAATCCAGGAGTGAAATGGAGTGTAACAACTGCCCAATAAATGTTTTGTGTCTATCTTGAAAATCTTAGTATCAATATCATCTTTAACTCCTTATTACAGCTAGGTTCTGAGTCCAAATAAAGCCCCGTCAGATGAAAATATGACTTCTACAAATGCTGCCTCAGTTTAAATCCTTGGTCAGCTCTTGTAATCCCCAGACAGAGACACAAGCAAGGGGCCACAGAGAGCCTAGAGCTACGGGGCTTGTGAGTGAAATCAGCCTGAAGAGAAGCAAAACCTGAGCTCCTCTGTTCCAGCCATTTCGCTTCATTTCTAGTCTCCTGTAGAATTTCTCTTCTAAATTATTAAAACCCAATGTCAAACAACTTATAAAGCCCCTTTACTTTCACTGTCTCATGGCATGCCTAAAGGGAGAGTGGGAAGGGTGGGTGTGGAATCGACAGAACAGGACTCTATGTGCTGTTTTCTGTCTCCTTTGATGCTTGCTCCTTGCATGCTCCCTTTGCTCCCTCTGGTGACTGTCCCCTGGAGACCACTGCCCTGTGCACCCTGCTCTCTCTCCCTTCTCCTGCCTCTCTGAAAGCCCGTTTATATTTTTGCTGCAGGTGACTTCTAGACTTGTCTGTAGCCTGGCTTTCTCTGAAGTCCAGTCCTGTATTTTCAGGGTTTTTTCTCCCATAACATTGGCACTTGGATGTCACATTGTTACCAAAAGGAACCCATTAAGGAGCTCAGATACTGTTACTGAAACAAGCCCCCTCCCCTGGGGTCTTTCTGTACTATGGTCCTTCTAGCCTGCAGCTATGTATTAGGAAGGGTGGCTCTCAATGCCAGAGTTCGGTAAAAAGGAAAGGAACTATTTATTCAAAAGTATACAGGTTTAGAGTAATGGTGGAATGTGGCAGATACTGGCCAGCAGTATCCATCTCTGCTGCGGATGCTCGTCAAAACACAAGAAAAACATACACAGAGACAACCAGGTCCTGTGGGGAAATAGGGACAGAATGGCCACTCTCTCTAGTGGAGAGCGTCTCATCTCCATTCCCAAGCAGATTTTTATTGAGAATACAGACTTAGTTTGTGGATTCACAGTCTGGCAGAAAAGATCAAAAGAAGTAGGTGACTTACAAAGGTGCAGACAGAACCCCCACTGTGATTCTGGGCAGAGACTGGAGTTTTAACATTTGAAAGGAGTAACAGGGCTCAAAGGGCAGTTTTGGTTTCCTGCCTGTGCCTTCAAATTCTAATCTAATAACATCCTCCAGCAAACAGATCTCCCAGGATCTTACATATTCTATGTCCCAGTCCTGATTACCCCGGGGGTCTGCCATCTCTGGTCTGGGCTGCACTGCCCCTGCTATTCCCGCAGGCCTGAGTGGGGCAGAGGAGACAAAAGCAGCCAGGAGACTTGGATTACTCACTTCTAAGAACAAGGACTCAGGCTTTGACAAAGCCGAGGGGGCAGGGGTTGATGTCCATCACCCCTTCATTTCCACAGCCCCGAGTTTCTTCCCAGAAGCCTCCACATGATCATGCTGGTCTTAGGCGTTTCCCTCCATGGGAAATCTTACCTGTCATTGGCTAACTGTTCAAGCTTAGGAGTTTAGGCACAGAACAGGCAGCATTCATGCCAGGGAAATAAGTTTTTGTCTCCTTAGTGGCTCCTGGTCCGGAGGTCTCTCACTCAGCCTAGGTCACGGGGGGTTACAGCTTCCTGAGACCAGGCAGGGCAGTCCCCAACAGTGGAATGTTGCTGTTAAAATTCCAAAGTCCCTTTAAAACACCCACAAACACACACACAGTCTTCCTTCCCTTTGTCCAGTCAGGCCAGTCTCAGAGGTACCGTACCTTAGGAAAAGAAATAGAGGTCCATAGCTTGGCTAGACTCCTGTTTCCTCTCAGTAACCTGTGCTTAGCTGGGCAAGTCTCCCACGGTTCCCAGCACCATCAGCTGTATCGCTGTGATCTCCAGTTCTTAATCCAAAACCACACGGCACCTCCTCATGGACCACCTGCAAGAGTCCTTTCACCCCTTTTCTTCCTGTGTGGTCTCACATTGTCTCCCTGAAGAGTAAGTGGAGGCAGCCTGGCTTCCTTACCCAGGTGTCTGGGTAACTAAGGGAAGCAGTGTTCCCATAGCCTTCAATGGGCCTAATGAGTAGTGTTCTCATAGCCTTGAGACTGGGTCCAATAAACTGTTCCCGTAACATGAAGTGGGCTTGCATGTGCAGAATCATGCTATGTTATATAATTTGCTGGATTTTTGCGGGCTTGCTTTGTTCTAGTATATAAAAGGGGCTTGGGGCTCCCAGCTGGGTGCCATGGTGGGGAGCAAGAGCCACAATGTGTGCCATGCAGAGACAAGCAGGGAGACACGCAGCTTGGAGCGTTGTGGCTCGCCCACCAGTGAATAAAGGCTTGTCAGACATCCCAACGGGACCCTGAATATTCTTCCATCTGCTCGAATACCATGAACCTGTCAGGCCCTGAACAGTCACAACACACTTCCCCTCATTGTCTCCATCCCACATGGTGGCCCGCTTTTAGTTTAAATCCCAGCCTGGAACCTCCTCCAAAACCCCATTTCTGACTCCTCCCACAGTTGGCGACACCTGCTAGCACTCCAGTATTTTCTGCCTTTTGTGGCTACCATAGTTAGTCTGGGCGGTGTGGCCCCAGGCCTGGAGAAAACCATCTCCAAGCTCTTGTGCTGCCTCCCAGTTACATCATGGGTCAAAGTCACACCCATCTCCCTCACTAACCTGCTGTTATTGATATGCAAAACAACAATTTTTGCATATAGGTATGAAGCTAGCCTGCTGTTGACATGAAAAATAGCTCTAAATCCCTGTGCTGCTTTTCCCAGCCCCCAAGCTAGGCTTGTGGAGGGGCCTCTCAGCCTGCACCCTGTTACAACATCATATTGACTATGACATTTAAGTGTTCATTCAGCAAACATTTTTGGAACATATGGTCAGTGCCAGATCTGAAGATACATCAGTGAACAAAGCAGCAATGGGCTGCCTCTAGGATTTGTAATGGGGTCCAGAACTCAGGGGGTCCAGGAAATATTAAAAATATGGGATGTCCTCACCCCCACAAGTCTGAGCTGGGGGGTGGGACACATGAAGCAGGGCCATTGAGTTGTTTTGCATTGCAACAGTTTTGCAGATAACCTCTGGCATGGTCATTTAACACATCTATAATCTTTAACTAGTGTCATAGATATGTTAAATAGCTGTGGCCATGCTTTGAGCCAAGGAGAAGGAAGTGACTTCCACTCAAGATGTAACTGGGAGGCAACTCCCCCTGGTTACAGAGCTTGCGTGAGAGCTTGGAGATGATTGGCTCCACACCATGGGGCCATGCCTGCCCAGACTTACTATGGAAGCCCAGAAAAGCTGGAAAATATGGGAGTGCTGCCAAGTGTAGCCGATTGTGGGAGGAGTCAGAAATGGGGCTGCAGAAGAAAATTAGAGCTGGGATTTAAACCCAGGTGTGGCAGCATGACAAGAATCATCATGCGGCTTTGGCAGGGGAGAATCATGTGGCTTTGGGTCTCCCTTTGTCACACAGCTTAGGAAGCTGGAAAGCAAGATGTAGCATGAAGCAGAGCTCTCTTTTAGCAGTTCAGAAGAGTGCAGGAGAGATGCTGCAGAAAGGAAAGGGGTGAGAGGACTCTGGCTGGTGGGCCATGAGAAGGTGACATGTGATTTTGGAATAAGAACTGGAGATCCCAGCAACACAACTGATGGTGCCGGGAACTGAGGGAGGCCTACCAACTGAGCACAGATTACTGGGAAGAACCGGGCGCTGCCTGAGCCATGGACTCCTATTTCTTTTCCTGAGATATGGTACCCCAGATCAAGCAAAGCGGGGAGGAAGAACTGTGTGTGTTTGTGAGTGTTTTAAGGGACTTTGGGATTTTGATGAAGACATTAAGTCATTGCTCATAAGTCTGTATAATTTAAATAAATAATTCCTTTTCACCAATCTCTAATATGGAGAGCTATAATTCTCTGGCAATGGGCAAGGCAAACCTAGTACAGGGGGACCCCAGGAGAAGGGAGGGTCAATTCGGTAACATTGTGGGACGCCTTTTCCTGGTGGCTAATCAGGGAAAATCATGAGAGACCACATACACAGTAGATTTAAAGTAATACAACTACTTGCACATGCACAATAAAAGCCTGCCAAAACTAGCCAGGAAGGATCTGCCCTATAAGAATAGAGTCCCTCCAGCCCATGAGGTCAATCTCTGCTCAGAGTTGGCCTGCTCCCATGTTCTTTGCCATAAACTCTTTATCCCAATCACCAAGAACCTGGTTTCCTGTGCTCACCTGTGACAGAATGACACATACACAAAAAAGAGTTACCAGTTTGCAAAACTTCCCCAGGCTCTGCCTCGTATTCCACCAGTAGGTCATACAGTCAGTCGCCTGTGTTCATTCTTTCCTCCTTTCTCTGATGCACGCACTCTTTTTCACGGCTGAGTGCTGCTCTCCAGAGGCAACAGCTTGCAATTTTTAGCTTTTTCTCATGGTATTTGTACCTACAAATTTAAACATCACACCCATATTATATTGCTATTTATAGATTTTAAACAAAGACCTTAAATGCATCTTTTATTGGGCCACATAATATAAGGTTCAAAATAGCTTCTTGTCCCAAATTCACCTCTGGAAAGACTTAATAATTTATAAGCATACAATACCATGGGGCACAAATGTCCTTTTCAAAACAAAATGCATTTTAAAAATTATAATTTCTTAAAAGATTTTATTTATTTTCAGAGAAAAGAGAAGGAAAAGAGAAACAGAGGGAGAGAAACATCAATGTGTGGTTGCCTCTCTTGTGCCCACTACTGGGGACCTGGCCTGCAACCCAGGCATGTGCCCTGACCGGGAATCAAACTGGTGACCCTTTGATTTGCAGGCCTGAGTTCAGCCCAGCTACACCAGCCAGGTGAGTTAACTTTTTTATCAGTAAATTTTACTTTTAGCAGCAATTATTAAATAAAATAAAAAGGAAAGTTTCTAAGAGTAAATGACATGAGCTCAAGACTATCCATTTGTTCCATTTGTTCCATTTGACATCTATTGTTCCATTTGTTCAGGACATAATTTATCTAGAATTTGGCTCACAAGTTTTTTTTATCCTCACCCATGGACACTTTTTCATTGCTTTTAGAGAGATAGGAAGGGAGAGAGAGAAACATTGATTGGTTGCTTGATGTTTGTGCCTGGACCAGGAACTGTGTGCATCTGGACCTGGGATAAACCAGCAACCTAGGTATGTACCCTGACTAGGAGTTGAACCCACCACACTTCAGCTACAGGATGATGCTCCCACCAGCTGAGCCATATCAGCCAAGGTGCAAGTTGTTTTTTCTTTTTTTTAATCTTTTCACCAGGTATATTTTATTTATATTTCTTATATGTTCATGTGGGTATTTTCTGTCATTCATTACACCAGATATTTAAGTAATTTGTACTAACAGAATCTACCTGTCTTAGAAAAGCATTAACCAATTCTAAGGAACCTCTGCACCCCAGTGTTCATAGCAGCACAATTTACAATAGTCAAGTGTTGGAAGCAGCATAAGTGCCCATCAGTAAATGAATGGATCAAAAAACTGTGGTACATTTAAACGATGGAATACTATGCAGCAGAAAGAAAGGAGGAACTCCTACCCTTTGTGACAGCAGGGATAGAACTGGAGAGTATTATGCTAAGTGAAATAAGCAAGCAGTGAAAGACAAATACCATATGATTTCACCTATAAGTGAAACCTAATCAACCAAGCAAAATAGAACCAGAGACACTGAAATAAAGAACAAACTGACAGTGACCAGAGGGGTGGGGGAAGGAGGATAATGGGAGAACAAAGGACAAGAGTCTAGTCAAGGAACATGTATAAAGGACGCATGGACAAGGACTACAGAGTAGGGATTGACTCTGGGGAGAGCAATGGGGGGAAATTGGGATGACTGTAATTGAAAAACAATAAAAAAAATAAAAGTTAACTTTAAAATGTGGAAAGAAAGAAGAGCATTCAAATGCAATAGTGAGGCTCAGCAGATCACAAAAACTACAGCATGATGAAAATGTGGCTCACAACTTTTAAAATCCACTGTATTAAAACATGACAGTATATTTGCAGTTAACTCCTGCTTGTGTCTTAGGAAAGCTCTTATGAAAAAAAAATAAAAAGACTGTTTCACAGGTAGTGGACACAGACGGCTGATTCAGGGAATCAGGAACTAAGAATTACAGTCTGTATTAGAACTCCAAACCATGGCTACAATGACAGATACAATAAATACTCTTAAATAAGTTCCAAGTGCATGAAATGACATATCACAATTATTTTTTATTTATTTTATTTTAGTTATTTATTTTTAGAGAGAGGAGAAGGATGGGAAAAAGAGGGAGAGAAACATCAATATGCGGTGCCTCTCGCACACCCCCAGCTGGGGACCTGGTCCGCAACCCAGGCATGTGCCCTGACTGGGAATCAAACCGTGACCCTTTGCTTCTCAAGCCCATGCTCAATTATAATTACTTTTTTTTATTTTTTGCAAAGCAAAATACTAGCACAGCCCTGAATATTCATCCTCCTCTGTGTCAGCCTGTGGTAAAACTTCTGAACTCCCCTTCCTTCTTCTCCTCCTCTCTAACCTCCACCTCCTTCTCTTCCTCCTCCCTTTCCTCCCAATGTCCCTCCTCCTTTTTCTTAAAATGTTTTATTGTGGTAAAATATGCATAACATAAGCTCTGGCATTTTAACTATTTTTTTGCAACGTAACTATTTTTAAGTGTACAATTCAGGGTCATTAAGTCCATGCACATGGGCGTGTCACCATATTGGAGATTTCTTCTTTATCCCCCTTCCCAAATACAGCATACTCAGACTCTAGTTAGCATAATCTCTGTCCCTGGGCTTGAAATGTGGAGCTCTGAGGACTTCAACACAACAGTTTGACCTTGCTTCTCAGTGGGCAGCACCACGGTCACTGCCACAAACCCTGGTGTGCTAGAGCTCTCCCTGACAGTGTTCTGCAGTCAGATAGCCAGGTAGGTGAACTAGAACTTCAGTAACTGTTCTCTTACTACCAGTTGGATAATCCTCAATTTCCTTATAAACATTTGTGTCTTTCTGAATAGAGTGCTGCTTGATCAATCTTGTATCCTTATACTACTAGCAGCCTGGAGGTTTCCCTAAGCCCTTAACTGCCTGTTTGTCCTCCTCATTTACCAGCATGCTGGCTGGCTGTTGATACACTTGTATACTTTTCTGGATCTACATCTACTAGGAGTGTTCCAACTCATTCCAATGTTCCAGTGCCTCCAGGGCTGTTCTGTCTATCAGGAGTGGTGCTTTCTAAAACAGTTTTATCAGATACTAACAGCTTCTCTAAGCACCTTCTCAACTGTTTCTATCATTTCTGGTTTAGACTCTAGTCAAGTTACCACACCCTAGATAAATGCTATTCCCTTTTCCTGATCCTACTTATTTCTACTCCGGCCTCCCCTCCTTTTGTTTAGTGTCCATTGCTTCTAACCCAATCAGAAACACCGCTTTGCAAAAATCCCCTCCACACAAGATAATTATATCCCATCACTTTGCCACAATGACTCACTTCAACTCTATTGAAACTATCCCAGTTTGCCATATACTCTCACTTCTGTGCCAAGGACAACCTACCACCTGTGACACCACCTCCTCATCTTCAATATATTGACCCCTAGTTCCATCCATAGGCCGAATGTCTCCTGTTACTGTTTATCCAAGAATAGTGTTATTGGAGAACAGCCAGTATGTTCATTTACATCTATAGCTGCTTTCCAGCTAACGTTGCATAGTTGTGACAGAGTCTGTCTGACCCAGATAGCTTAAAACATTTACCATCTGACCCTTTACAAAAAAAAAATTGCCAATGTTTGTTCTAGTCTTAGACCAGAATGATTTTTCTCCTGCCCTGGCACTTGCTCTGAACAAAACCACATCTGCACTTGCCATCAGCACTCATGTTGAATAAGATTATACATACTTCATTCTGAGCCCCCCACTGCTGTTTCAGTGAGTGACACTGCTGTGCATCTGTGTAACCACTTCTGATGCAAACACAGCTGTTGCTGTGGAACTACCACCTCCACTGCCTCTGCTATAGTAGGCCCTCAGCCACTGGTGGCTGTTCTGAATCCACCCTCGCCTGTCCCTGGAGCTAGCCTCCTCCACGTAGGTCAGGTTCCTCCATACCTGTTCAGACCACACTCACCTGGACCTCCATAACCACTATGATGGTGTTAGATCATGTCACCTCTGCTCCCAGCCATGGCCACTGCCTCACCCATGAGTATCTCTCATTCTTTCATCTTCTTCCAGTACCCTCCTTACACCCAGTGACTACATCACACAAGTATCACTTTTATCTCTTTGGGCAGCACTTCTGAACTTGAATAGGTCTGCTCTGCATGAGTCACAGTCACATTTCCTCAATCCTCTGCCCCCACCATCATCAGTGTCACCAGCAGACATATTCTACCTCCTCTTCTCTGAGACACTCGCCTCTATTCTGGGGACCATGACCTCCAGTAAATTACTTTCTACCATCTGTCCTCCCACTACAATACGTCTCCTGCAGCCACCACCACCACCACCACAGGTGTGCCAGATTCATCTCCTCTGTTCTAAGTACACCTCCCTCCCCTTTAATTGTCTCCACTACAAATGCAGCATATTGTGTGACCCATTTCCTAGGCACCAGCACCACTGGAACAAGACCTGCTAGACCCATCTCTGCCACCACTGGCATGGGGACCATGCCCTTTGCTGCCAGCAGTGCCGACCCTGGGATTGCTCTGAAGACCTCTGGCCTGGGCTTGTCCACTATTGGAGCATCATCTACCACCTCTGTCCCTGGGACCAGGACCACCAGTACAGGGTCTACCTCTGAGCTGACCAGCACTCCTGGAACCAGCACCAGCTCCCATAAAACTGGCTCAGTCACCATGGGCACAAATACAGTTCATGAGAGCCGCGCACCAACAAACGTCACTAAACCAAGTGGGCATTTGCAGCCTTGGGCCATCATCCTCATCTCTCTGGCTGCCACTATGGTCAGTGATGGGTTGTTAGTGGGACTGAGTTTTCACCTGTGGAGTCACTGTAATGGAGTGGGGGAACTCACCTAGCTGTTAGACCACATGTGGGAGTAGAATAATAGGAATGGATGTTCAGAAGGAGAGAGCAGTGAGTGGAGTCACATTCATCCAAGCCCACTACAGATAAGCAACAGGAGCAAGCTGTGGCCTCATAGCAGATTTACAGGTGCATGGCCACAAGGGAGGCTGTGCACCAAGGGGACCGACCAAGGAGCTTCTTATTGATCTAAGGAAGAGAGTCCTCACAGTTAGGGGCAACTTGGAGTTCCAGTGAAGTTCAATGGAGCAGAGTCTGAGTAAGCTCAAAGTGAAGCAGGGATGTTTGGCAGGGTCCACAGCAGCTTGGACTGTGAAGTGGACTCAGTTCTTCTGGCCACGAGTCACAAAGTTACAATAGACTTGGATATATTCAGAAACTCTTTGCCCTTGGGCAGAAATAGAGGCTCTTCTCTGTGTCAGAGCAACTTAGATTTTCCAGACAAGATTGAAACATTTCTTTCTTACTGATATACTTTCAAACAGCAAATTTGAAACAGTCTGTGATTTTGAAGAACCACATTTTTCACTGACTAGATTACTGAAAGTGAGTAAGCTGCTCAAAGAAGGGACTGTAGTGATGCTTTCTGGCTGCAGTGTGCCCTTGGTGAAATGATCTTTGCAACGAACTTGGCTCTGTCCCAGCTCCATTCCAGGCTGTTGGCCCAGCCGATGAACGAAAGGGCAGACTTACGATGTCAATCTGGTTTTTACTTTCTCTCACAGGATAACATAAACACCATGAGAAGAAGAGAGACAGAAAATGTACATGATAGATGTAGCAAGAAGTGGGAAAAAAGAGAAGAAAGGTGCATTGGGGCCCACAGGAGAGTTAAGAAGAAACGGAGAGGGGCAGGAAGCCTGTCTTTGATAAAGTGGTGAAGTAGCTGGGACAATAGCTCTAAAAGAAGGGTGTCTAGAAATGATGAGCTTTGGGCCCCAATAGGCTTTTCACTTCCATTACAGACGCTACTACACACTACTTCTGGGAGTGCAAGGGCAGTGGGGGGCTCTTTTCCCACCTTTTTTGATGTTACTCAAGTGAAAAGAAATTCACTTTTCTAGATACCTCTCAGCACCCTTCAAATAGATTGGGAATTTCAAAATACTTCATCAAAGCTAAAGACAGATTACAAGGCAATAGCCTTAACAAGAACGGTAAATACCAAAATGCTTGACCTGGAGTAGGGCAGGCTCTGGGGCTCAGAGTGCCAACCCGTTTCCAGCCCAGAGCCCTGCAGTTGCCTCTCTGCTGGGTGTTGACAGCCACATACCAGCCGCTGACTGCATTTCTGCATCCTATTCTCCATCCGGCTCTTACTCTTCTACTCCAATGCATATTTCTTGTTCTGTTTTAAAAAATATATTTCTATTTTCCCATTTTAGCTTTATGTTTCCTGTAAGTGGTCTTCCTGTAAGGACAAGTCAGGGTAAATACACAACAAATACCTGAAAATTTCACACACCAACCAACACATCATTGGCATAATTTACAATCAACTTATTTGAGTTTCTTATTTCAGATTCTTTGGTCTCTATGGCAAGAACAAAATGAGACTCACCAGCCATGAGCAAGCCTCTGCATGTTTAAGATGGTGTAATAATAACTAGCATTTTATTAACAGTTTACTAGGTGTGAGGTCCAGAGACAAGAGTGCAAGAGGGCACTCTCTCCCCTTAACTCGGTTCACCCACATTAGGGTACGCACTCTTATTATCTGGCAGAGACTAAAAGTAACTTTCCGAGGATATAACTCGGAGCTGGGCTCTAAGCCAAGTCTGCTCAAGAGGGCTGTGCTCTAGTGGGTGTTTATCACTAGCTCGCCAAGCGTTAGCTCTTTGTGAGCCTTCCCTTATCTTTTCTTTTTTAAATTGAAGTATTACTTATAGGAAGTGCATGCATCTCAAGTGTACAGCTTGATTAATTTAAAAATGTGTAAACACCCATATAACCACCACCCAGTTCAAACCATTGAACATTTCTATTATCTGAGTAGTTTCCTTTGTGCCACTCCCTGTCAATACCTGCCCAGCCCAGGTAACTACTATTCTGACTTCTGTTTTGTGGAATTTCATTATTTTTACCTGTCCTCACAGACAGCTGGGTTGATTAACACGATAAAAGGCTCCCTGTTTCTGGGAGACTCTGCTTCCTGGGTACAGGCAGAGGATTTACCCTTGTCCTGAAGGCCTAGAGGCACACGCCTTGCCAAGGGAGCCAGCCAAGATCCCAGCACTCACCAGGAGAGGGTAGTACAGGAGTGAGGACAGCAGTTTGCTCAGAGAAGTGGAGGAACCAATGAGAGGAAGGAAGCAGCAATAGCACACCCACAGAACGAATGAGAACAGAGGAAAGTGTTGCAAACTGAAAGTTTGTTATTTTTAATATTCCTAGGTTTCTTTTTACCATATGATTTCATTTACATGTGGATTCTAAAAAGCAAAATAAATGAATGAACAAAACAGAAACAAACTGATCCGTGCCAGAGGGGAGGGAGTTTGGGGTCTAGGTGAAAAAGGTGAAGGGATTGAGAAGTACAAATAGGCAGTTACAGAATACTCATGGGGGTGTAAAGTGCAGCATAGGGAATATAGTCAGTAATATTGTAATAACTGGATGGCATCAGGTACTAGACTTACTGGGGGATCACTTCATAAATTACATAATATCTAATCACTATGTTGTGCACCTGAAATTCATATAATATTGAATGTTAACTGCAATTGAAAATTTAAAAAAAAATTGTTTTTGAGATGTGCAAGGATTGTTTTCCCTGGGAAGAGAGAGGACCCAGCTCCAAAGCCAGGCAGCCAAGATGCACAGGATACAATGTTGCTTCAACTTCAGAGTAGAGACTTTAAAATCTTTACTATTCTGACATACTCCTGACACACATTTTGTACACATCTACTATGACGGTGAAAAATGTTGTACACATCTACTATGGTAGTGAAAAATGGCGACACATTTTCAAAACACCTGCATCTCTCTTCAGGACAGCACTGACTGAATCTGCGAACCTTTTGCCTGCAGCCCAATCCTTCCTGTCCTCCACCACCCAGCTCCAGGCCCAGCCACCCCCAGAAGCCTCTCCAAGTCTCCCCAGCCTCTCTAGGCCTCCCCGATGCCCTGCTCTGAGCTTCCCAAATCAGTATGGAAATTAGTTAAGAGCAGATTTGTCTCCCTACAAGAGTACAAATTCCTCATGGTCAGAAGCCTTGTCCATCTGCACCCACCCAGAGCAGGAAATAGAGGGAGCTATCTGGTTGATTTGCTGACCTCGCCTAGCCAGCACTTGACAAACTGGCTTTTTGAAGAAAAAGGTCTTTTTGATGAAAAAGCCCAGGTTTGGCCCTTGCCTCATCCTCTATCTCACTCTCTGTCCCTTTCTCTCCATTTCTGTCTTCCTTGGGCAAGTCATGCCATTCTAGACTGAGTCCACAAGAGGGTCAGTCTCTAAGGCCTTAAAACTGGTGTTCCTAAACCACAAAGTTGCCCTCCAACTCTGAAGTTTTGTTAGTGTCCATGTTTACTCACTTGGATTAGATGTTGTGCCAGAATCTCAGACCAACCTCTTCCTGTCATGCTCCACCAACGACACAACAGGGAGCAAATGCTGCTCATCTCACCACCCCCAATTCCTCTTTCTGTGTCACTGCCACTGGCTGGCCCCCTCCAGCCACCCAGCAGGTGTTGTCTCTCCTCTGTACATCTGCCCAGGGTCTTATGCTTAGGGTCTTGGGAGGATGCTGCTTGCTGCTGCGGGTGGGGGTGAAACCATTTTTGCCACTTACCAGTACCTTGCTTTGGTACAAACTTATTTGTTTGAAATCACTATATTTATTCATTTGTCAAAATATTTTCACCCAAAGTTCATGTAGTCATTTTCCAGATGTTGTATGAGTTAGGCCAAGCTGAAGTTATTACACCCATTTTATAGACAGGGTTGCCAAGGCTCAGAGACAGAAACATGGTTCATAGAAGGCTCTTAGACTTTCTGACTCCCACCCTAGTGCTCTCTTGACTGCTATGTATGTGAATATTCTGTTAATTCTTTGCTGTTTCCTTCTCCCCAGCCCTTTCCATTCAGATCTAGTTATGAGGGAGACCCCCAAAACCCATAATTTATT